AGGCCACACATGTGTGAATGCAGACATGGGGATGGCAAAGCTATCTCCTGACACCGACAGAGCAGCATGCACCTCCCATCCCTGGGCAGGGCACAGTGTGGAAGTGACAGCAAGGCAACGAGGCAGCGGCCAGGGCTACCTTGAGGCGATCTTGGTGAAGTACTCGTAGGCATTCTCTGCCGTGGGCTGCAAGTGCTGCAGCATGGCCTGGAACTCTGAGTCGTAGCGCCGGTTGATGTCGTCCCCAATGACGGCGAGCTGCCGACCCACCTGCCCCATGGTGCTGCAGGGATGGGTGGCAGCTATGTGAGCAGACAGATGTGCCAGGGCCTGGGCTCCAAGTGCACAGGTCCTGCCTGAGAGGCCCTGGCCTTGTACATCCCTCCTTGGAGGACCCTGACAGTGCTCTCAGACATGAGGCCTCGGCCCAGGACAAGGGGCAGGAATGTGCTAAGAAGGGTGTAAGATCCCAGATGGGGGTGGATAGCAAGATACAAAAGAGGCAACAGTGGCTGAAGACAAGACTCCCCCCACAAGCCTCCAAGCTCCCAGGACTTGCTCAGTGACCCCTTATGAGTATCTGATTCTCTGAGATGTCCCCAGAGATCCAGGGAGCTGCTACTCACCTGCTAGGTTCTAGAGGCAAGGTGATCATCTCTGGGTCAGCGGGTGCAGCTGCCCCCTCTGCCTCCTGCTCCTGCTGATGGCGGTAAAAAACGTAGCTGCGGAAAACCTCCTCCGTGTCCCGGGCTACCTGCTCCTCTTAAGATCAAAGCTGGGCGTCAGGGAAGAAGGGCTGGGCCCAGGTAGTCCTGCGCTTTATGGGTGGCTCACTCCTCCTCAAGGCCACACCTGTCCTCGCCCATGGACAGAAGGTGCCTGCTTTAGCCCTTAGTTAACACCTAGTGTGTATGCTGTTTTCATTCAATCTTTACAACAGCCTGGTGACGCAGGTGATCCTCAGTTTACAGATGGGGAAACTGAGGCACAGGATGTTTAGGTAGCTTGCACAAGGTCACACAGCTAGAACAAGCAGTGAAGCCGATATGATCCCAGGCACATGGGCCTTGAGTTTACTGTATTGTGTACATGTACCCAGCACTTGTGGCTTAAGAAATGTGGGAAACAAAATTTGAAATTATAACCTTGGGCCCAGAGGAGTCCCATAGGGAAACAGAGACAGACCTGGGACAAAATTCAAAGTCCAGGGAATGGCCTGTGCTGGGCCGTAGGCTGCAGGCGTTCCTGACGGCCCCCTTGGGAGAGGGGAGAAGGGCGGCCGTCTTACTTCCTCCCCAAAGTCGGAATAATTGCTCTCCCTGTTTAGCAGACCTGACGGGGTGACACGCCAAGTGACTTCCTTCTTTTTCCTACTGTGGGAATAAGAAGAGCCACCCCACCCCCTGCCCCGGAATGGTGCTGTTAGGCCCCCTCCGCTCATTCCCTGGCCTCCCTAAGCCTCTGCACCCCACAGGTCCAGACTCCTCCGCACTTGCAGGGCTTGACCTGACTGCACCGTAGCTTCTGAGCCCAGTGGGCCACTCACTGGGTGGGGACTTGCTTTTCTCAAGGTAAGCAGACCGAAGCAGAAGGCCCTACCCACTTCTGCTCTCTCTGTCCCCTCAGATGGTCCTGGTGCTTAGAGGATGGGCAAGGGGGCTGAGAGACCCTTACCAGACGCAGAGGATGGGGCAGTCTCTCCGCACTCCTGCCCGGGAGGACCTGGGCCTTGCCCAGATGCCATTTTTTGGGTCCCAGTGGAGGACAGTGTTAGCCTGTGGGGATGAGTGAGAAAAAGCAGAGACAGGAATGAGCAGGTGCCATCAACAGAGGTTCCCGCAGCCACCCATTCCCCAAGATCCCACGGTCCTAGCTCCAACCACCTCTTATTTCTATCTACGTTGGATCCCTGTGGAGTCTGCTGGCAGAGTTAAAACTTACTGAGCATTTCACCAGAAACCCTTTAAGGGAGAGTGAGTAAGCCAGGCTCACATCCAGTGTGGCAGCCAGGTCCTGAGGTGGCGGTGGGGAGGCACAGCAGTGCCACGATGGATCTCAAAAGTCACTTTCCCCTCCCTCCTGGGCAAGGCTAGTTTCAGAGGCTGGGGGTTCTTTTCACTACTCCTGGGGCCTCCTGCACCCTGCCCAGCACATGCTTACCACCAGCTTGGTAAGCCACCTTCCAGCCAGTGACACATGAAGGCTGTCCTAGAAGGTCCCACTTCCCCTTGGCTGGCCTGACCTCACCTGTTTCCAACTCAGACTTGTTAGCCACATTTCCTAAGCACCTATGGTATATTTCTACCATGTATGAACACTCCCTACAGGGTGTTAAGACATTGAAAGCACATATTAACCCAGCAGGGGCAGCATCATCACACCTTTTACAGGTAGGAAAAGTGAGGAAACAGAGATTAGAGCCTGAGGCCACATAGTCAGGGAGTCAGGTTGGTCATTTGGATTTCCATGAGTCCATCATACATTCAACCCTCACTTAAGATTTAGTTTCCAGTTTGTGGCCCTTGGAGGGTGCTCTCTCCAGGCAGCTTTTTGGGTTTGCGCCCCACCTGTGCTCTTCCCATTCCTGCCTTGCAGTGAGCTGAGGAAGCCTTCACCATGGCCCCCCACCTGCCTCACACATGTGCCCCCACGACACACTCTGTCCCACCTGCCTCACACATGTGCCCCCACGACACACTCTGTCCCCAGCAGTTTTTCCTCCTTGTCCAGTCCTGCCCACAACCCTGATCTGCTCTGTGAACCCTCAAGAGGGAGTATTTCCTGGACAGAAGCTGTTTCACTTTCAATTCACAGTCTTCGCATTTCCCACTACCTCAAAGAGCCTCCAGCACCCAAGTGGGAAGCGTCTCTCCTCCTCCTCCTGCGGAAGGCGCAGTCCCACCCTGGACCATGCACAGCTACCCCCTCCTCCCTGGAGGACCTGTGTACCCCCTCCTCCCTCTCAGGCCTGGAGCCACTTTCAAAAGTGCCCCAAGGGGTCTCCAAGACGGGGTGGGGGAGAGCTGTCCCATCTGTGTACTCAGCTCTCCACCTCTCTACTCAGGGAGGGGCAGGGAGAAGGCAGACCCTCTCATCCTCCACACTGGGTGCCCAGCCTCATTATAAAACAGACCTTTGCCTGGCCCTGGCACACCACCATCCCAGAAACCCCTTCCCGAACAAGATGCCCTTCTTCCCCCTGGTCCCCGAAACCTGGCACCCCAAGGAGAGCAGGTCCAGAGGATGCTGTCTGCGCCTCCAGCTCCCTCTACCACTATCCCAGGGGCTCACTGCTAGGGAGCAGGGGGCCTCAGAACGGCCCCCAGAGCCAGACGCCTGTGCTGACCTGGGCCCACCCCTGCCCCCATCCAAGAGGCCTGACTTCCTGTACATGGAGGGAGTCCTCCGCTGCCCTCCACCTGCTGGGCTTACTGGGCCCAGGATGTTCCCAGCGGGGGATGCTTGGCTGTGCTATAGACCCAGTGTAAGGCTCCTACCCGGGAAGCAGGAAGCACTGTTAAAGTTTTTCCCCTGCCCTTGACCTTGGCTCTGACCTCCACTCCCATCCCCCAGACTGCTGAAGGTCCTGGTTCTTGGGACCCATATCTCTGGCACCCAGGGCCAGGGCAAGAGGGGAAGCTGTCTGAGGGGCAGCCAGAGGGAGCCCTGGTTGGATTTGGCCCCCCGGCACGGACTGGCCAAACTGCCCAGTCAAGCCTCCAGTCCTTGCCTTCCCCACCTGGCTGCCTGAGGCATCCCTATCCCACGCTGGGCCTAAGGCTGCTGAGAGCTGGGAGGATGGGCAGGTCCCTCCCGCCTTACCTGCTGGGACCCTGGCCCAGGCCCGGGGTGGCTCGACGGGACTGAGGCCGGAGATCCTGCGGGGCCGGCGGCTGCCTCTCAGGAGTAGGGTGCCCAGGCTTCGTTTCCAGGAACAGGAGTCGGTGAATTCCTGGGGTCCTCTGCCTGTCCCCGCGCGGCCCTAGGGACCCGCGAGGCTACGGCGACCATAGAGGTGCCGGCTTCTCCCGCTCCAATCAGCTCCCTCTAGAGGAAGTTGTCTGGGGCCGCCGGATGCGGACGCACCAGCCTATGGCCTGGGGGGTCGGTCTGGGCTCTCCGGGCTCGGAGGCGTTCCTGCCCAGGCTACTCCTGGCCCCAGCCGGGAAGGGTGGCTCCCCTTCCCCCACTGCTTTTCCCACACCCGATTCCCACTCCTCATCCTCGCTCTTTCCCCACTTCCGTCAATCAACAACAATAAAAAAGCCAGGATGGTGAAGTTTCTTAAGTACCCTGCTGTGTGCCCTGCACTTGCTATTGTCTGTGAATTTTCTCAACAGCCGTTGGATGTAGGTTCTTTTGACTGCACCCATTTTACGGATGATACAAACTGGTTCTCTTCTGGTTTAAGGAACTCTCCCAAGGTCACTGTGCTGGGTTTATACTCAAGTCTGTAGGTGCCATGGGGAATAATAAAACTAAATTGAGATTCAACATGAGTATTAAGATTAATTGAGATTAAGACATGTACACCAGGCACCTCCGTGCTCTCTGGAGACAGGAAATCTTGCAGGTGATAGGCTAGTAGAAAGAGGTCAAAATACAGTGGAGTCTGTGCACCACCAGGGCACCTGCAAGCTGGATGCTGAGAGAAGAGAAAAGAGGACAGATACTCTCTGTCCATGAGAAAAAGTTCTCAAGGACAGAAGCAGCCACAGACAGGGAAGGACAAGCCAGGTGGTGAGAGGTGTGTGCAGAGTCCTCGAGAACCCCTGACCCACTCTCGAACCCCTGACCCACTCTCGAACCCCTGGCCCATTCCCAGGGTCTGGGCCTCCCCAACCTGCCCCCACCCCACTGCCCCGACCTCATGGAGCTTCACCCACGGCCCCCCTGTCTGGCTCCCCATACCTCCTACTGCCCTCTCTGTCCCCAACTAACCCCCTCCATCATGTCCTCTCCCTTCCTCCTTCCCCCACCCACCCCAGCACATGCCTGACCTCTGCCTTCTAGAAGTCCTGGAGGTTTTGATTTGAAAACTCCTCCTGTTGTTAAGCAGTTGGTCCTGGGGTGGCTGCTAGCGTCCCTCCCTGAGTCACAATCCCTCTCAGGATGGAAACCCCAGCTCCAGCTCCTCAATCCCAGATTTTGGGCCGCTCCTCCATGTTCCACTTTCTCTGTAGCCTGGTGGGGAGAAAAGGCAGCCCAAGGCGCTCTGGGAAGGCCGTGTTGGGGGATGGGGGTCAGGTATGCCCTTCCCAAGAGCGGAACTCCGCCCCCTTGATGACGGGCCGCTGGGAGGAGTGGGGAGGATGGAGCCCAGGCTGCCTGCCATGCTGCCCTCCAGCCTCCCTGTGGCCATGCCACTGCACGATCCTCTGGGGCTGGGGCTGGGGGACACAGGGGCCCAAACCCCCACCCCCACAGAGGTCCTGAGGGTTGTGGCCCAGGGTGTAGAGGTGGAGTACATCCTGCCCAGAGGAAGCCAGGAGGTGATGGGCAACCTGTTTGAGAGGAGGGAAGATGAGGAGGAGGAGGCAGCAGGGGAGGCGTCTGGGGATACAGGGACTTCACGCAGGTGAGGGGCTGGGCTGTGAGTAGTGGGAAGGGGCCTGGGATGGAGGTACTGGGCAAGGATATGGGCCTGGGATGGGAAGGCCCAAATGGGGAGGTACAGGATTGGAACAGGGCACCTGGGTGGGGAAGGGACACACATCAAGGGTGGGGAGGAACCTGGAGATGAGGGGTTGTCTGGGGGAGGAGTCAGATCCTGGGGTCCTCTCACAGGTGAGTGGTTGCAGATGGAGGTGCCAATGATGAAAGGGGCCCAGGGGGCTGAGCGGGGAGCTGTTAGGACCAGGAAACGGAGCCTATAGGAGAGACTTGCAGGGCTTGGCGGGGGAGAGGTTAGGCAGCGTGTGCCGCATCTCTGGGCCCACCTGCCAACCCACCTGACTATGCTTTGGGGTCAGGAGCCACTTTGCCCAAGGCCTGGAAGTGGAGCAAAGATGCCTGCGCGGGCCATGGGGCCAGTGGACATCAGCCACAAGGCCTTCACCAAGGAGAAGGAGGAGTGTCTGCTTGCTGGTGAGTGTGATGGCCACAGACGTAGGGGAGGAGCCAGAGATTGACCTCCTTCCTCAAGGACTCTTCAGGGCAGTGGGGCTGGAAGGACACAGGGCAGTCTGAGGGATGCTAGAAGTGGGGTGCCTGGCTTCACACTCCAACTCTACCTTGCCAGCTGTGTGGTGATGACAAGGTGCTCAACCTTTTTGTCTCAATTTCATCATCTATAAAATGGGAATATAGGAGTACCTATCTCAGATGGCAGCTGCAATTATTAAGTGACATGTTCTTTGTAAAGTAACTAGAGCTGTGCCTGGAACACAGTAGCTGTTCGCTAAAGAGACAAGGAGACCTTAACCACTCAGCCTGCCCCGCGTCTCTGCCCTCCTGGGGCGGGGCCTGGGTCGCCCCGTTGCTGTCAGCCTGTCCGTGACACTGCGCCTTCACAGGAGACCTCAGGCTGGCTTCCTCAAAGATGGGGCAACTCCCTGCAACTGCCTCCTCACCTTGTATAGGCAGCTTCAGAAATCGGCCGTGGTCCAGGTGTGTGGAACCAGGCTGGGGTCGTAGGGGCATGAGGCGTGCGTGGGGTCCCTCCCACCCCCTCCCCACCTCGGACTGGGCCCCAGGACACGTGGCTCTGGCCAGGGGAAGCAGTCCCCTTTCTTAACCTTTGGGAGCTGTTCCCTCCTGCTTTCTGTTTTATCTGGGGGTGGGAGTGGGGCTGCAGGTTCACTCCTTCATCGCCTGCCCAGTGACCGGGCACACCTCAGTTTCTTCTCCAGGAAGGCTTGCCCCACCAGGAGAAAGGCAAGGAGTAGGAAATGGAGGGAGAGGACAGCTTGTCCGAGCTCTGTGTCCCAAGCATCGTCACCCCCAGTCGCCGCTGCATAAGACGTTTAAGTCAACAGATACAGTGGGTAAATCAGTGCCGCCGAACCCCCCCTTCCCCAATCTGCTCTCAGGCCAGAAAGCCCCGCTTCGGCAGCCGCTCATGAGTACGATACCAGTTCTTACCACCAGGTGGCGCCAGAGGACCTGAGATGAGGACCGGAGATGGGGGATCAGAGTGACTGGGCTGGAGGACAGGCTAGTCTACCTAGGGCTTTCCTCCCTCAGGGTTTGGGTGGCAGCAAGGTGGAGATTGTGACTGTGGCTGTGGCTCCTTGAGCTCCACCTTTTCCTGGCCAAGAATTCCAACTCTTTCGGTGGCCACCTCTATACCTGCTTTTCCCATCACACACTGCGGTGACAGAGCCCAAGGGTTCCCTGTGCTGCTCAGACATGGTGAGCAGATGGTTCAATGGTAATAACATAATACAGTAAATCATTTTTGACATTCACATAGCCGTTCCATGGGCCAGACCCTGTTCTAGGCACTTTTCACGAAATATCACATCACAACTCTGAGGTAGGTCCTATTGCAGTATCTGCTTCACAGTGAGGAAGCTGAGGCAGAGAGGTTAAGTAACTTGTCCAAGGTCACACAGCTAGCGGCAGACTGGGACTTGAACCCAGGCAGTTTGGCTTGTTCCAGAACCTTGCTCTCTGAGTTGGTGGCTGGAGGTGGGGCAGATGTCTGCCCCTCCTACACTCTCCCCAGGAGGTGAAGAGACTCACATTCCTGCTTGCAGGAGGGTCCCCTGTAGAAAGTGAGTTCCTTGGGAAGTCAGGGAGGTTAGGAGATGGTGTCTGGCTGGCTTCAGGTAATGAAAGAAGAAAGGGCTGTGGCTGGGGGTAGAAGGGTGGGGGTGGGTGCACAGGAATGCACGGGGCTGGGCTTAGGTCCAAACAGCTGGAGCTGGCCCTCTTCCTTTGATCCATAACACGCTGCTCCACCCTACCCCAGTCTGTCCCATGCCTGTCCCTCTGGCTGTCAGGTTTCATGGAGTCAGAGTTAAAGAAGCTTCTTGCAGTAGAGCGGGAGTCCCACCTCTGGAAGATGGGCAGCCAAGAGCGCCAGGAGCTGCTGACTCAGCCAGAGATAGTCCTGGAGGAGGCGGGCATTGTGGGTGGTCAGGTATCCCTGTCCTGTCCTGACCACCACCCACTGCCTGAGGCCCCTGGAGAAAGAGAGGCTGGAGGCCTCCTGCCTCTACAGGCCCCCAACCCTGGTTCTAGCTCCGCTGTCTAAGTAGAGAAGGCAGAGTCCCTTCCTGGTGGTGGAATTTCTAAGAGTAGAACCCTGACTCCCTTCATCAGTCTCTGTTTCTGACTTGACCCGCAGTCCAAATGTTCATTTTCAAGTCTTAACTTTGCAATTCACTTGCTGTGTGGTCTTGGACAAATGCCTTCTCCTCTCTGGGCCTGTTACCTCATCTGTACGATGAGGCGATTTGTCTAGGTGGCTTAAAGGCTACCCTGTGCATCTGTAATTCACATATGGTTGCTCTTTTTCTATTTTCTCTCCCACTCACATCCACCTACATCTTCTCTAACAAACACACCTAGGTTTGGGGAAGCTACCCGTCTGGGTCACAACTGAGACCACCCCCTGCCCACCCTTGACATCAGCCTCAAAGGTTAGGCCCGTGCCAGCTTCTCTGATGGCACATTCATGGGTCTGTTGTTGAAAAATGTGTTGGTATCCTTTTTGTGTTAATTCCCATTCATTCATCAGCTCATTCTTTCACTTGGTGCATGCTTGCCCCTAACAATCTGACTGATTGACAAAAGGAAAGCATAGGGCTTGGAGGCCAAACTCTTTAGTGGAAGTCCCTGCTCTGGCATGGCCTTGCTGCGTGGCTAGGAATGTGGGCCTTGGCTTCTTTACCTGTGCAGAGCATTGCTGTGGGGTCAAAGGACATGAAGGCTGTGTGACCATCACCCTCAAAGGGCATTCCAGCACTGAGGGCTTTATAAGCGTTCGGGCTTTGGAATCACCCCTTGCATAGTGAAAACCTGAAATACAAGGCCACCTGGCACTGAGGGCAGCCCTCTTTGTCTTAAGCCCGCATGCCTGTGTCCCAGGGTGCCCCTTTGGGCTCTGGGGGATGATGCCGTGCACCTTATCCTAAACCAACAGGTTGTCAGCTCTGGCAGAGCCCCTGGCTTTCACTTCTTCATGCTAAAGGGATCTCTCCTCACTTTCCCTCCCTCTCCCCTGTCCCAGGAGGCACAGTCCTGAGGCAGCCTGAACAGGACTGGGCGGCCCTAGGGAGTTCCTGGGTGGTAGCAAGCGGGGACGCAGCGCAGTCCTCACATTGGTGATAGAGCTGCCTCGGGAATATCTTCCTCCTGCAGGTGTTTGAAGGGCCCTGTCACCACCCCTACTCTCTCCTTCTCTGCCTTCAGGGACGCCAAGCTGAGGGGGGAGGAAGCCACCCCCCAACCTCTGGGGAACACTGGGGATTGGGGGAGGAGCGCTGAGGCAGCCGGAACACCACCCCAGGCCAGAGGGGAGGGTGCAGAGGCCCCTGGGCATGGTGTCCAGGACAGAGGTACGGGAGGGGAGGGCTTGGCTGGGGTGCCCGACTCCTGGGGCTTCTGAGGAATCCCCTGGGTTGGTAGGTGAAGGGCCCCTTCATTTTGTGGGAGAGAGGTGGCTCAGGGCTGGTGGAACTGAGCCGGCTGTAGGGACATGGGGGCGGCCAAAAGGTGGCCTCTGGGTGCTTGTCTCGGGGGGGTAGACTGGAAGGTTCTGGGGGTGCAGAACAGGGAGGGATAAGCCCAAAGAGGCTGGGGCACCTTCCTTTACCTACTTCTGTCTGCAGCACCTGCTCCTTGAGGAGACGGGCAAGATGGGAAATTGGCCTCTGGAGGGAAGATGGCACTGGCCCTGAGCCTGCGCTGCCCGCAGATCCCTGGAGCCCACCTGAGAAGTTGCTCCTGGGGCCAGCGGGTCTTGGGATAAACGGTGTCCGTGTGTCTGTAGGGTGGGCCTGCCCAGCAGCCTATTCCCACCCATCGGACTCAGGCTTATTAGTAAAACCTGGTTTGCCTTTGGCCTCCTTGGCTTTCTGTCTGTGGACCCCACCCCTCATCCTCAACCAGGAGCAAGCCCAGTTTATCCAGGGTCTCAGTCTAGTCCCCAGTCTGTGCCCACAGGGCTGCCAGGGCTGCCCCATTGGAGAGCCCTAGCTCCAGCAGAGGGGCTGCAGCGTGGCATCCGGACTGGAAGGGAGGTTTGGTGTACCTGACCTGGGGGCGGGAAAGGGCCTGCGGCCCAGAGTGCCAGGGGAGCCCCTGCTGCCACAGGACCTGCCACTGTTAGTAAGATTGTCCCTGACTTCCCTCTCTCCTAAGGTCCCAGGCCAGGCTTGCTGCCTCGCAGGGAGGGTCCGGGAATTCTCCAGCAGGAAGTTCCTGCCCAGCCAGCCCCAGGACAAAGCCAGGAAAGCAGCTCTGGTGGCTGTGGGGAGGTGGGGGCCTGGGCTGGGCATCAGGTGGGGGTCCCTGGGGTGATGCAGGGGGCTCTGTGCTACACAGTGCAGGCAGGGTGCCATCCTGCCACCCTGGTCACAGGGCCCTCTGCCACACTCATTCATCTACAGGCACCTCTGGGGGTCTTGTGCAGACAGAGATCCAGACATCTAGACGGCCCAACTCTGCCTAATCCCAGAAGCAAAGTGGGCTTGTGTTGGGGGCTCACGACACTGCTTTTACTGTCCATGGAAGGGCGCACCCTTGTATCTGGGTAGTTCCTGGGGATCTGATGGAAGGGAGGGACAGACCCAGTTTGGACACCAGGAGGTGCTGTTTGCCAGGAGGTCCTGCTGGCTCCCAGGAAGACCCCTGGCTCCTTCCCTTTCCTGTGTGTCCAAGGCTTTGAGCCCCCAGCGTATGAGTGAGAGAGAGAGAGAGAGAGCAAGCGACTCTTCTCAGCGCAATTGCTCTTCACAGAAGCTTGTCTGGCCTTCCCCGTGGGCCCCGCTGTGGCCAGCCTGAGGCCTTTTGCAGATCTGAAGTTCATCAGAACATGATGGTCGCTCTTAGTGATCACTGTCACTGACAGCAGTTTGCTGGGTGGATAACACGTGCTTGTGGTGGGGCTGGGGACATTGCAGCCACCTAGCTTCTTGCCCCAGTGCAGCCCAGTCCAGCCCAGTGAAGGTTGGAATTCCAGCCTCCCAACACCCAGATGGAGTCAGGGGAGAGCCTGGAGAGGGCTAGTGGTTCACGAACAGGCTGGGGTCTTTCTCCTGGGCTTCCCAGCAAGGACCCCTGGAATCTTCGACTCAGGGTTTGAGCTGGGGGCTGGTGGGAGGGCCCGTCTGGACTGTCCCCCTGAGTCAGTTGGGAAGCAGCCTTGTGACCATATGACTCACCTGTGCACTAATGATTTCCTCCCGGAGTGTTGGTTGTTGGGAAGGGTGGGAGCCTCAGAGGGAGGACTGTGGGCTCCTTGTTTGCACCTGGAAGCCCTAGACAGGATACCTCTCCTCCCTCCCCCTTCCTGATAGGACCCCGAACCTTGTGTGGACTGTGCCCAGGCTGGGATGGGGTGGGGGTTGGGGGTCCCTGGGCCCAGAGCACTCCAGGACAGAGCTTCTGCCCCCTGCTCTGTTGCTGTCTGGGTGGGGCTAGCCAGCACCTCCTAGGCCTTCCTGGGCACAGGCAGGCACCACGCTGGGTGGGGTAGGCTGGCAGCTGGCAGTTCAGGCTCCTTGGCTGCCTGCATGAGCCACGTGACCACTCATAGGCCACCCCAGCTCCTGGGGGCAGTAGCATCTTATCCTTGGACCCCAACAAGGGTAGGGCTGCTGGGAGCAAGGGGCCAGAAAGCTGGATTTAGTCCATGGGACTTGGAGCTGATCACTGCCCACTCTGCTCCTCTTTCCCTTTCTGTCAAGTGAGGATCATGGTACTGCCTCATCCACACACCCCCACCCCGTTCACCCCTCCTACCCCAGATTCCTGGGAACTACAGAGGGAAGGTCTCTGAGGCTGTGGGGAAGGCCCAGTGAGCAAGGTTCATGATTTGCAGGGAGGGAGCCAGACATTTCTGAAAGGCTTCAAGGGAACACTGCAGATGCAAGGCCTGAGGACTGGGGGCATTTAAATGTGCCTTCCCCTCCTGGGTGTGCAGGCAGTGGGGGGAGGGCTGCCCTGCACTGCTGGGCAGTGGGCTCTGCACCGTGGCATGTGGCTCAAAGGCCAGAGGGCTCTGAAGCCCAGTGCGGGCGCCTCTCTCTAAGTCGCTCAAAGGGCCAGCTGGGCCGGCAGCAGCCCTGTCAGGCTGTCAGGTCTAAGTCGGGCCATTATGCCAGAACTTGCCCAGTCTTTGCCACTGTGAGCTTCTTTCTTCTTCCCCATCTCACTCTGTCTCTCTCTCTGTTGGATGGATATCTGTGTGTGTGTATCTGTTGTGTGTTCCTCCCGCCCATGCTTCTCTTTTTCTCTGTGTCTCTGTGTCTTTCTTACTTCATCTCTGGTGGGATAGAGGTCAGAAAGGCAGCCCCCAGATCCATTCTGAGGGTATTTGGGGTACTCAGTGGTGGCTGAAAGGAAGCTGCTGGGGAGGGAGGGGTGGGGGCGTTTCCTGGGGAATCATGGGCAAGGTCACCTGCCGAGGAGACAGTGGGGTGTCTCTCCCTGTGGGCTCAGGGGCAGGACCTTCAAGGAGGATACTACTTTGGGACCCATCTGGAATCTCTGGTTGCCAGTCTTGCCTATCTGGGTTGAGGAAAGGGAAAAACCACCTCCATTATTTCCAGGTGGGAAATGAGCTAGAGAGCAGAGAGCCAGAGGAGAGCCTCACTGGGCAGGAGCCCCAGCTCCCGTCTGACAAGCTCGTGTGAATGCAGGCAGTTTCCATACCTCTCTGGATCTCAGTTTTCACATCTGTGAAGTAGAAAAATCATGGGCATATTGTGTGGGCCAAATGAAGTGCTATTTGGCATGGCAACAAGTACTTGATTAAGCATCTACTACATCCCATTCCTGTGCTAGGCCTGGGGGAACGGAGCAGTGAACAAGACGTATAAAACCTTCACTTCATTTGAGCATTTATTATTGCAGGTAGGACAGTAAACAGATAATGTATTGGAGTGACAAGCACTATGAAAAAAGGTGAAGCTGGGGAGCTGGATGCTGTTTTAGATGGAGTGTTGGCATGGGAAAGGCCTCTCCAAGTGATGTGTGAGCAGGGACCACCAGAAGTGAGGGAGGGGTATGGAGGTGATGGGGAAAGGGCCTTACAGTGAGGGAACAGCTAATGCAAGTGCCCTAAGGCAGGAGTCCACCTGGTGTGTGAACAGACCTGTGTGGCTGGGAAAAAGTGAGTGGGAGGGGGAGTGGTGGCAGGTGAGGTCAGGAGGGAAGGAGGGGATCGCACACTCTGTTGATCTGGGAGTTTGGGTTTGTGTTATCAGAGGAGAGACATGTGGTTTACATTTTAGAAGTCTCTCTCCCTTGGCTGAGGGGGACAGGGGTTGAAGCAGGGAGGCTGCTGCAGAGGGAGGCTGCTGGGATCATGGGCAAGGTGGCCTCACCAGCTGCTGTGTTTACTAGGAAAGAGGTACTGGAGTGGCTGGAGGGCATCTTGACCACTAGGGAATGACCCTTGGCCCCCACCTCTGCAGACGCAGTCGCTCCCCAAGTAGAACTTCCCCCCACAGTGTAGAGGGTGGCAAGGGGCAGCCTGGGCCAGAGCCCAGGAAGGGGCAGCCAGTCCCAAGTGGGCGGCTGTGGTAGGAGGGGGGCAGGAGGCGGTTGGCACCAGCAGGGTGTGTCAAATGAGCAAAGGCATCCTGGCCACGACATCCAGCCACCCCAGGCTCGGCGAGGTGTGGAGGGCACACATCTGGGCAAGCTCGCGTCTGGGAGCCACTTGGTGTTTCCGCTGCCTGAGGCTCTCGGGGCTGTTGGAGGTCCAGGCTTCCTCTGCTGAAGGCATTGTGGTTTAATCTGTCACGAGATCAAGGGTCGAAAACAAGTCCCTGCCCTCCTGAAATTTACAATCAGGGTTTGGACTAACAGACCCCTGTGATAAAAATCAAGTGATGGTGTTTGTGATACAGAGGAGTGAGCAAGTAATTTCAGTAGGGAGGAATCCAGAAGGCGTCAAGGAGGAGGCACCCTTTGTGATTTGGGCTTGCAGAAGGAGGGGGAATTTGGTGGGTGAAGTAAGGAGAGAAAAGCATGCCTGCAGGGGAGCCCCGTGGTGATGGGAAAGTGCCCAGTCTGCCCCATGACCCCACTTACCACCTCCCTGGCCAAGCCAGAGCCATTCCAGACGCCTCTTTCCTTGGCCTCCTTGTTCTGCCCACCTGTTCGTGTTCAGGCTTTCACTCCCTGAACTCCGTCCATCTGCACACTTGCAGTCCCACAGCTTTTGCAGGGGCCCCCAACCACAGTCACAACTTCTCATTCTCTCAAAGCTTCTGCCCCACCCCCACCCCCATTGCCAGTCTTCCTGCCCCCCCCGTCCATAACTCCTACCCACCCTATACAGCTCAGTTCAGGCACCTCCTCTCCTGGCATGTTCACAGCCCCCTTGGAACTGGCTAAGAGGATCCTTTCCCCTATGCTGGACATTCACACCATGAAGGCAGGCCCTGGGGGACTTTCTCTCCATGTCTGCAATGTCCAGGAGGGTGGCTGGCACAGAGCAGGCTCAACACATGGTGATAAATTCAATCAGCATGGGGGGTGGGGAGGAGGGCTAGGAGGGCAGACAGGAGGAGGAGGGCTCAAGGATAGAGCTGGAGAGATAGGCAAGAGCCACATCACAGAGGGCCACGTATGCCAACCCAGGTGGCCTGGCATTCATCCTTAGGGCAGTGGGAGCCGTAGAGGGCTGTAAAGCTGGGAAAGTGACATGGTAAGATATATAGTGGAG